CCCCAAAACCCCAAAACCCCAAAACCCCAAAACCCCAAAACCCCTCAGGTTGTTCTCTTTATTGAAATTATTAATAGTTCGAGCCATATCCCAGTTCAGATTCTTACTAACCCCTTTAGCTTTATACTTCAGAATCAGGGTTTCCAGCTGAATGAGTAGGTAATTGCCTGAAATCTTGTGTGGGCTAGGAAGGAGGGGAGGGAGATTTTGAGGATTTAGAGACCAAAAGGGAGAGTTAAGGGTGTCTATTTGGAGTGCTTGGAGTTCTTGGGGTATTTTGAGAGGGTCAGGGTTGAGAAGGAGTAGACGTTCTGGAGGTGGGAGGATTTGGGCAGGCTGAGGTTGGAGGTGCTTTGGGTAGGGGGTTGAGTGGATGGGGGATTGGAGGGGAATGGAGGGTAGTAGAGGGGTTGTGAAGAGGGTTTGAAGGGCTAGAAAGGGGGTTTAGGGGATTTTTGGGGAAATAGGGGGAAATGAATTTTTTGGGATTTTGGGTGGGTTAGAGGAGTGAAGGGAGATTTTATTTAGTACCTTGTGTTGTTGTTTAGGTTTAAAATTTTGTGGTGTACGTAAATTTTTTCATTTTGAGAGAGGCAGCATTGGAGATGAAGCTTGATTTTTGTTCCAACTTTTTCTCAGAGAACTATTCAATTTTGCCTTGCTACTTGTGCTGTTCTTCATAGAGAAAGTTGAAGAAGGAGAATCTGTTTGTGAAAAGCGCATGTTTGTCATACTAGGCTTTGTGATGGGCTTAGATAAAGGTGGTTGCTTTTACTAGCCGCACTAAACCTCAACCAAACGACATACCTTGGCATCGAGTGTAACTTATAAGGAAGAAGTGTTCTTAGTTTCTAGCTGTGAGGGATATGGAGGGAGTCTGGGAGCAGGCTCTGGCCGTTTGGCAGATTTTGTTATCTTAGAAGTTAGGAGGGATATACCTTTCATTCAGAACCCACTTCGCTGTTTTTGGAGTAGGAGTAGACTGTGTCATTACGAGAGAAAGATATATTCTTCTTGTTAACACTTCTTGATCCAGTCGAGCTTTTTAAGGATGATTTTTTAACAAATTGAGCTTTATTCTGTCTTGTGCTTACTCTACTATTCTCTCTATTAATACTCAAAAATTTGGGTCCTGCTTTGGAGCATTCACAGTTGAGCTCCTTCTCAGCAGGCCAGCTGGAGTGCCTCCAACTTTCAAGTGATTATCTACCTGCAAAATACAGATATCAGACTCTCGGACTCTGACTCCTAAATCTCATACTAAGACGTTACCTTTTCTCCTAACTTTCTGTTTGGAGACGAAGCTTATAACTGCTTGTTTGGACTGGAGATTGGATCTGCGTAAATACTTGCCATCTCTTGGCCTGAGATTCTGGAACTCATAACTTTGGGAAGGATCAATCCTGAATGAGTAGTCAGCATCATCAATCGCTTTCTTGATCATATAGGTTTTGTGGGTAGGCACGAAAAGGGATTTATTTTGGATCATTTGTCTTGGATGGCTTCAGTTGCAGGACTTTGATAGAGTTTCGCCGCTTGGATTGGTCGATTTTGGGTTTTAGCTTCTTCTTGTTTGGAGAAGATATCTTGCTACTTGTGAAATAGTAATTTGCTTACTTTATTTTGGGCAGAGCAAACAATGGGCTTGGCTTAGGCCTGATATTGTTGATGCTTAAATACCTTTTTGGGGTTATTTTTATTGTGGAAAGTTATATTGTCTGTGATCGATTTTTGTTCCTAGAAGATAATATAAGAAGCTTACTTCATCACTGAAGAGTTCGTCCTCGAACTCGGTTAGGTTAAGCTGGCTGGAATTTTCTGAAGGATTTGATTAAATCAATTTTATTGCAAATGGAAGGAGATATTTGGAAAATTGATCTGATTATTAGAAATCTGGTTTACTACCTTTTTAATTATATTTTAGATTGGAATAAAGAGTTGCATTAGAAATTTTATAAGTCTTTTGGCTAATGATCTCAAAGAAAATTTATGATTTATGCTGGGAATTTAGCAATTTTCTTGATCTTTTGATCTTTAATTATGGTTTTTGAGAGATAAGGGAGAATTATAAGATTTATTACCCCCACCAAACACCTCTCCCACCTCATTCTCACCCAAAATCATAAAAACTCAGCACCAGTCACCCAAAATTCTCCTTTTCTTCCTAATTTTCCATTCAAACCCAATTTATCCCCAAAACCCACCAAATCCCCAATTTTGTAGCTAAAAAGAGGCAAGCTAGGTTACCTTCCGAAGATCTTGAAATGCACCAGGATGACATATTTATTTTTATACATCAACTGTTTTATAGAAATTTGGGGTTTTGGGGTTTTGGGGTTTTGGGGTTTTGGGG